TTTCTTTATCCATTCATCTGATGGTAGACACCTGGTTGCTCCTGTATCTTAGCTATATGTGAATAATGCTGCCATAAACATGGTAGTGCAGATATCTCTTCAGCATACTGATTTAAATTCCTTTGGGTATACATTAGTGGGATTGCTGAATCATATGGTAATTCTATTTTTAATTTTCTGTGGAAATGTCATACTATTTTTCATGATGGCTGCACCAATTTGCATTCCCACCAACAGTGCATAACTATTCTTCTTGCCAACACCTATATTTTGTCTTTTTGATGATAGCTGTTCTAACAGGTATGAGGTAATATCTCTTTGTGGTTTTGATTTGCATTTCCCCTATGATTAGAGATGGTGAGCACCTTTTCATGTACCTGTTGGCCATTTGTATCCCATAAATATGTATAATCATGTATGTGTAATCACATATTTATGGGGTACCTGTAATATGTTGACACATGCATATAGTATGTAATGATCAAATCAGGATATTTAAGATATCCATTCCCTCAAACATTTATCATTTCTCTGTGTTGGGAACATTTCAGATCTTCTCTTCTAGCTATTTTGAAATATACAACAAACTATTATCACCATACTGTGTTATCAAAGACTAGAACTTATTTCTTCTGTGTATCTGTATGTTTATACCCATTAATCAGCCTTTCTTCATCCCCCCAACCCTTCCTAGCCTTTGGTAACCATTATTCTTCTCTCTGCCTCCATGAGATCAATATTTTTAGCTCCCACATACAAATGGGAACATGTAGATTGCTTTTAGTAGTATGGGCATTTTAGCAATAGTAATTCTTTCAATCTATGAGCATGAGATATAAGATATCTTTCCATTTTTCTGTGTCTTCAATGTATTTTATCAGTGTTTTATAATTTTTCATTGTGGAGATTTTTCATTTCCTTGGTTAAATTTATTCCTAGGTATTTTTTTGATAGCTATTGTAAATGAGATTTTTTTTGATATCTTTTCTAGGTTTTTCCCTGCTGGAATATATAAAATATCACTGATTCTTGTACTTTGATTTTGTATCCTGCAACTTTACTGAATTTACTTATCAGTTCTATGGGATTTTTGGTGGAGTCTTTAGGTTTTTCTAAATACAGGATCATGTCATCTGTGAACAAACATAATTTTACTTCTTTTCAATTTGGATACCCTTTATTTTTTTCTCTTGCTAATTGCTCTAGCTAGGACTTCTAGTACGATACTGAATAAAAAGTGGTTAAAGTGAGTATCCTTGTCTTGTTCCAGATCTTAGAGGAAAGGCTTTCATTTTTCTCCCATTCGGTATAATGTTGGCTTTGGGTTTATCATATATGGCCTTTATTGTTTTGAGGTATGTTCTTTCTACATCCAGTTTGTTGACAGTTGTTTTTTTAAATCAGGATGGCTTGAATTTTATTGAATGTTTTCTTTTTCACTATCTATTGAAATTATGAAATAATTTTTGTTCTTGATTTTGTTAATGTGATGTGTCACATTTATTTATTTATACATGTTGAACCATCCTTGCATCTTTAGGGTGGATCCCACTTGATCATGGTGAATGATCTTTTTAATGTGTTGTTGAATTAGGTTTGCTTGTATTTTGTTGAGGATTTTTGTATCTATCTTTATCAGGGATATTGACCTGTAGTTTCCTTTTTTTTGTTGTGTTCTTGTCTGGGTTGGGGATCAGGGTAATGCTGGCTTTGCAGAATCAGTTTGAAAGTATTTCCTCCTCTTCATTTTTTGGAAATAGTTTGAGTAGAATTGACATTAGTTCTTCTTTAAATATTTGATAAAACAGCAATGAAGCTGTGGGCTTTTCTTTGATGGGAGACTTTTTATTCTTGTCTATCTCATTCATTTTTGGTCTGTTCAGGATTTTATTTCTTCCTGATTCAATCTTGGTAGGTTGTATGTGTTCAGGAATTTACCCATTTCTTCTAGTTTTTTCAATTTTTTGATGTATAGTTCTTCATAATAGTCTCAAATAATCCTTTGTATTTCTGTGATTATCAATTGTAATGTCATTTTTTTACTATTGACTTGTTGGAGCTCCTTATATAGTTTAGTTATTGGTCCTTAACAAATGGGTAGTTTGTAGATATTTCCTTCCATTCTGTGGGATGTCTCTTCACTTCGTTGACTGTTTCCTTTGCTGTGCAGAAGCTCTGTAGCTTGATGTGATGCCATTTGTCCATTTTTGCTTTGGTTGCCTGTGCTTTGAGGGTATTACTCAAGTTCTTGCCCAGATCAATGTTCTGAAGCATTTCTCCAAGGTTTTCTTTTAGTGGTCTCATAGTTTCAGGTCTTAGATTTAAGTCTTTAATCCATTTTGATTTAATTTGAGTATATGGTAAGAGGTAAGTATCTTGTTTCATTATTCTGCATATAGATATCCATTTTTCCCAGCACCATTTATTGAAGAGACTGTCCTTTCTCCATTGTATGTTCTTGGCACCTTTGATGGAGATAGGTTCACTATAGGTGTGTGGATTTATTTCTGTGTTCCCTATTCTGTTCCATTGGTATATGTGTCTGTTTTTATGCCAGTACCATGCTGTTTTGGTTACTAAAGCTCTGTAGTATAATTTGAAGTCAGGTAATGTGATTCCTCCAGTTTTGTGCTTTTTGCTCAGAATAACTTTGGCCATTCCAAGTCTTTTGTGGTTCCATATAAATTGTAGGATTATTTTTTTTATTTCTATGAGGATCATCATTGGTATTTTGATGAAAATTGCACTGAATCTGTAGGTTGCTTTGGGTAGTATGGGCATTTTAACAATATTGATTCTTCCAATTTACAACCATGGAATATCTTTCTCTTTTTTGTGTCCTCTTCAATTTCTTTCATCAATATTTTATAGTTTTCATTATAGACATCTTTCACTTATTTGGTTAAGTTTATTCTTAGGTATTTTATTTAATTCATACTATTGTCAATGGGATTACCTTCTTGGTTTCTTTTCCAGATTGTTTACTGTTGGCATATAAAAATGCAACTGATTTTTATATATTTATTTTTGTATGCTGCAACTTTACTGAATTTGTTTATCAGTTCTAATAATATTTGTGTGGAGTCTTTAGGCTTCTCTAGATATAAGAGCATATCATCTGCAAATAAGGATAATTTGACTTCTTCCTTTCCAATTTGGATGCCTTTTATTTTTTTTTCTTGTCTGACTGCTCTAGCTAGAACTTCTAGTACTATGTTGAATAACATAGTGGTGAAAGTTGGCAGCCTTGTCTTGTTCCAGATCTTAGAGGAAAGGCTTTTAGTTTTTTACCATTCAGTGTGATACTTACTGAGGGTCTGTCATATATGGCATTTACTGTGTTGATGTAAGTTCCTTCTATATCCAGGTTTTTGAGAGTTTTTTTTATGAAGGAATGTTAAATTTTATCAAATGCTTTTTTCAGCATCGGTTGAAATGATCATATGGTTTTTGTTCTTAGTTCTGCTGATATGATGTACCACATGAATTGATAAGCATATGTTGAACCATTCTCACATCCCTGGGATGAATCTCACTTGTTCATGATTAAATATCTTTTTAATGTGTTGTTAAATTTGATTTGCTACTAATAGTATTTTTTGAGGAGTTTTGCACCTATGTCCATCAGAGATATTGGCCTATACTTTTCTTTTTTTGTTTTGTCTACTCTATGCTGAAAAATATTACTTTAGACATATAATTTATATGAGAGCACAAATATAAAACTGTCTTATTAGGTGAGGCAAGAGCTCTTGAGAACCTCTGTTTTTTGTGACACTTTTTAGCATAATCTAACACAAGAGCGTTATGGTATCAAACATCACAAAAGGAGTAGTATCAAAAATCAATAAATATCAGTAACTCATAGGAAACTTGAAGGTATAAATCATAGGGCTGATGAGAACAACAAATATAATTTAACATATTTCTAACAAAGTTAGCACAAATTAATTTACCTGGAAATATTGTTGTGATAAACGTTTTAAAATCCTCTAACTTATCCTCAGTCTTGACCTTGGCCTTCAGGATGTAAATATTGCCAAACTTGTTCTTGAGATGCTGAGGGCTGCCCAAGCACATAAACTTCCCCTGCACCATGATGGCTAGACGGGTACAGAGGGCATCACATTCCTCCATACTTGCAAAAAAAGGAGAGCAGATCATTGTAAGGCTAAAAAGTTCTCCTTTGGAGAACATTGTGCAATTTAATCAGAGCCGGGATTTTGTGACCCTATTTTCAATCACAAGTTGCCCTTGCCAATCATAAAGCTCATAGTTGGAAAGTGGGGATTTTTCAAATGATAAACAATAGAGTGCCCAATCCTCCCATAAAACATCTCCTGAAGTCCTATCTTCTCCTCATTCTTGATTTTTTAACTAAATGAGGATTCCTGCCCATTTCATTCATTAGGATTAATGTGCATTCTAATACCTAATGAGGAGCTCACAAACTCAAGAAAGTTCACTGTCCAACATTCCTGGCCCCAAATAATTCCCTCTTATAGCCACTAAAACTCATTCCAACCCTCAACCAAGCCTCTAGATGAGCTACACCTGTGGGAGGTTATAATGATGGCTTTTCCACTTTCACGTGCTTGTGTCACTGTGTTCCAGAGCAGGCGTCGGGCTGCTGGGTCCATGCCAGTTGATGGCTCATCCAGGAAGATAATTGAGGGCTTTCCCATTAGGGCAATAGCAGTACTGAGCCTACGTTTGTTTCCTCCACTATATGGCCAAAGAAGGAGAGAGAAAGTGAAAGTGAAAGAAGAGGAGGCTATACATATCAGCTATTTACAGGAGAGATCTAGCACAAATGTCTCAAATGCTGAGAGTCCCAGCAAACACTAAATATGGAAATCCTCAATGCTGATTAAATATAACTTTGATAAAGTAGCAGCCCAAAGTACAGGGGTATATATCAATTCATTTTAAATTGAGATATAGAAGAGTGATATTTTTGGTACTGATTTGACAGCATTATCAACAGCATCTATTTACATGTTTTTAGGCTGTCATGGTTTCCCAGGCACATAAACCCCATCATAATTCCAAGGGCCTATATTACTCCTTATTTGAGAGATAAAGAATCACAGGGACAATAGGAAGAAGATGTTTTCTTTTGAGGTTCAGGGCCACAGTTTAAATATAACTAAGATTTTGAGTTTCTTTTCTGTAAGAGAAAGATGTGGGACTACATTGATTTGACTTATTAATGGCATCTGAAATCTACCAGAACATTAAATGGTTTTGCAATTAGGTAATTGTGGGCATAGCAGCTTAGGCGGAGATGTGGGCATTTATTTCAAACATTAGGAATATTAAGGAAACATCTCATAATGTAGCATTAACAAGGAAGAGCAGCAGCATAGTGACTCACCTGTAGGTGCTGATAAGCTTGTCAGCATGAGACTCCAGTTCCAGTGAGTTCAAACATTTCTTCACATATGGCTTAATCTGGCGCTCAGAAATTCCCCATACTCTGGCATACATGATCATTATTTCCCGAGCAGTCATATATTCCAGCAAGGCATCAAATTGAGGACAATAGCCAATTCTTGGCCTCACCTAATTACAAGAATTGCCTTATGTAAAGATCCAAGTCACTTATTGCACTCTGTATCCATGGATGAGATGGAAGACCTGCAGTCCTCCAAGCCATGCTTCTAAGAGTCCTACCGAGATATTTTTTCCCTAAAGGGCTACAAAATTATGGCTGTTGAATCTATTGTAGGGTATTGGGATAATAGGTTTCCTAATTCAGTTTTAATGATCTTGGGGATAAAGAAGTTAAAAATGAAATTTTAGATCCCATCAATTTGGAGGAGTATTAGAATATGAGATACTATCCTCATCAATCAGGAATTCCAAGGGGCATGGTCACCATGGATGTTTCTGCACTGTTCTACTTGCACAACCATGTGTACATCTTGTTCTATAGTGAGGCTGAACCAGTGGCAAAGCCCTTCTCTTGGCCCCCACCCCTATCCCCAACTGGAGACTGCAAAGTGTATTACTATAGAAATTAGTCAAACCTTTCTGTTGATTTGGATTCAGTTACACATAGCCTAGGAGCCAGAGAAATAGAATTGAACTATCAATAGTTTGGTCACTGAACTGAGGCTTACCAATGTGGCCATGATATTGAGTTTGGCATTGATTTCTGTGAATATGACACCAAAGTTACAGACAACAAAAAAATTAGATAAATTGGACACCATCAAATTAAAATTTTTGTTCTCCAAAGGACACTGGAAAAGGCAACCCACAGAATGGGATAAAATATTTACACATCATATATATAATAAGAGATTAATATCCAGAATATATAAAAAATTCCTCCAATGCGACAACAATAAAAACCAAACAATCCAATTTAAAATTGTGCAAATGGCTTGAATAGGTATTTCTTCAAAAGATGATACACAAATGGCCAATTGAGCACATGAAAAAATGCCCAACATTACAAATTGGGAAATGCAAATCACAGCCATGATGGGGCCTGGCACAGTGGCTCATGCTTCTAATCCTAGCACATTGAAAGGTCAAGGTGGGAGGTTGGCTTGAGGCCAGGCCTGAGAAACATAGTGAGAGCCCATCTCTACAAAAAATCAAAAAATTAGCTGGGCATAGTGGCACACACCTATAGTCCCAGCTACTAGGGAGGCTGAGGCAGGAGGATCACTTGAACCCAGGAGTGTGAGGTTGCAGTGAGCTATGATGATGCCACTGCACTCTAGCCCAGGCAACACAAAAAGATCCTGTCTTGAAAACAAACAAAAACGAAAACCACAATGGGATACTATCTCATGCCCATTAAGATGGCTATTATTTTTTTTAAAAAAGTTGGCTGGGCTTGGTGGTTCACGCCTGTAACCATAGCGCTCTGGGAGGCTGAGGCGGGAGGACCGCTTGAGGTCAGGAGTTTGAGACCAGCCTGAGCAAGAGCGAGACCCCATCTCTACTAAAAATAGAAAGAAATTAATCAGACAACTAAAAATATATAGAAAAATTAGCCAGGCATGGTGGTGCATGCCTATAGTCCCAGCTACTCGGGAGGCTGAGGCAGGAGGATCACCTGAGCCCAGGAGTTTGAGGTTGCTGTGAGCTAGGCTGATGCAATGGCACTCCCTCTAGCCTGGGCAACAAAGTGAGACTCTGTCTCAAAAAAAAAAAAAAAGTTAAGAAGTGTTGGTGACGATGCAGAGAAATTGGAACTCTTGTGCATGGCTGGTGGGAATATAAAATGGTGCAACAGCTGTGGAATACAATATGGAAGTTCCTTTTAAAATAACCATAGAATTACCATGTGATCCTGCAGTTTCACTTCTAGGTATATACCCAAGTTAATTGAAAGCACGGGCTCAACCAGATAATTGTATACCAATGTTCATAGCAGTATTATATGCAGTGGCCAAAAGGTACAAACAATACAAATGTCCATCAGTGAATAAATGGATAAACAAAATGTTGTATGCTCCTACAATGGAATATTATTCAGCCTTAAGACTGAATGAGATTCTAATACACTGGTACACCTTGAAGGTATTATACCAGATGAAGTATGTCAGATATAAAAGTACAAATATTATATGAATTCTACTTATATGAAGTACCTAGTACAGTCAAATTCATAGAGACAGAAAGTAGAACAATGGTTACCTGGGGGTAAAGACAGTGATTGTTTAATGCGTACAGATTTTCAGTTTTAGTTTAAAAAGTTCTGGAGATGAATGGTGGCCATGGTTGTACAAGAATGTGAATGTACTTAATGCCATTGAATTGTACACTCAGAAATAGTTAAAATGATAAATCTCGTAGAATGTATTTTTACCATAATAAAAAGACAATGTTAAAGATGGTTTTTAAATGCTTGAATAAATGAAGATATCACCATCTGTCATATAAAATGTGAGAGATGTTCTAGAATAGCAAACTTGTAGAGATTCTCTGAAAAAATTCCCTCAGATTTTACTGAACTCAGAATCAGTCCTTGCAAAAGGCTCAAATATTGTCTGTATGCCTGGTCTCTTTTTAAATTTGACATTTTTAAATGGACTATCTCTTTGTTTCCCAATTCAGCTTTTACTCCCTGGCACCAAATTCACTTAATCCTTTTCTGCATTCCTCACAGTCAGGGGACTGGACTGTTTTACACCATCCTTATGCCACTGAAGAGGATTTGATAAGTGGTATGGAGAAGGATATTTAGGGGAGACCCACATATCCCTTCCTCTGTAAGGACCAGCTGGCAGGAACAACTCACTTCCTGCCACGATGTATCACTCCTTCCTCTATTTCTTCAACTTCTTCCATTATAGTATAAATGTATTCAAGTTATTCAACATATGAAATATTTTCTGTCTCCTTCTCAGATATATGGGTGAATTCTAGTTCTTTCCTTTGCCCCACAGCAAACTTTCTTCAAAGTATAACCCACATTTTTAGTTTCACTTCTCCTTACTAGACTACTGTTTTTCCTATAGCATAAAGCTCCCCCCACCCCATCTTCCTGATTCCATGGTGACAGTGGCCCATGTGAAATGAAGAGGAAAGAATTACACTACTAAGGTTGTCATCACTACCACCCACCTGATCCTAGTGTAATTATTCTTGCCAACCTCATCCATGAAGTTCTACTAATAAATCAAATCCATACTATTCAGTCTTTAACTTGCCTGAGATTTCCAGGCATTTGACAAACTTTGACTATCTCTTCTTGAAATTCTCTCCACATTTAGCTTCTTCCTAAGGTTTACACCCTCTCTCCCAGGTGGCATGTGTAGCCAATGACTGGATAATGCAGAGGTACAAAAGCTGATGACCTTGCTTTGATTTGGGATGACTCTGAAAGGCCATCTTGCTTCAGAGCTCTCAGTAAGATGTACCAAGACCTCAGTTACAACTGAATTGCAGATCATCTCTTTCTGTCCAGTTCTGCAATCCTTACACTGTTACAGCATCTCATCTGGCATCCGTTAGATGTGCTGTTGAAAAAACTTGCCTTTTATTCCAATAGTTTCAAAGAACACACACAAAAAATTCACTCTTGTTTTAGATTCTACTCTTATTGCTTCACTCTCGCTTCAAAAATTTCTCTCTCAAGGATCCAATGACTGCAGCAACATCAAGACCTACCACAATTCCCTTCTATTATCCCTAGCCATCTGCCTGTTACCTCAACCCCTGAGGCATTATGCTTCTTATGTCTTAGACTGTAACAGCTTCTTACCTTTACAATATTTTTGGTGATGTTAAAGCCATCAATGAACACTTCCCCAGAAGTAGCACTCGTCTCCCCAGTCAAAATGTGGAAGGTAGTCGTTTTTCCAGCTCCATTATAGCCAAGCAATCCAAAGCACTCCCCTTTTTGGATTGCAAGGGAGATGTTTTTTACAGCCAGAATGACTGGATAGGTAAAATAGATCTAAAAAAAAAATCCAGGAAACATAATTAAGTAAAGAATACTTACAGGTCAAATAAATTCAATACCTCAGACCCCTATGGACCACTACCTCAGTTTCACAAGGACTCTTGTGTTCTACTGGGAGAATATACATAGATCCTGAAGAACCACAATGAGCCCTTGGCACCAAAGGCATGCTCTTAAGAGGAATGAAACTAGCATATGTTGGCCATTAAATGGCATTACAGTACCTTTATCAGTTCCTTAATAAGCATTGTGGAATTCGGCAACTCCTGAGGTTGCAGCTCCAGGATTCTCTCTCTTTCATTTTGTACATCTTTATCTTCAGATTGCCCAGATAACTCCTTGGACACTATATCCTGTATTTTTAAGACAAGAATCACAGAGGCAAATGCCCGTTAGGCATCTGTTTTAGATTGGGTGGCTTCATGAAAGCTAAACTGGGGGATAATATTAAAGATGTCAAAACAGAATGTGCGAGTCATTTCTTTAGAGACTTCCTAAATATTACTTGAGCTCTCATGTACAACTTGAAAAATTTTGAGTAATGGATAGTTCCTCAGGGAAATGGGGGTGGGGATCAGAGGAGAGGGAAAAGGTATTTACATATTAATAATAGAAAGGATGTGAATCAACATGATACGGTGTGTATTTAAATCTTTGAAAGACATAATTTAAAGTATTCAGAGAAATGATTTTATCACCTGGTTCCTTAAGAAGGAAGTCATCTCAACAGAGTAGAAAAGCTTTAAAAAATACAGTAATAAGTTTATACTAATAAATAGTTCCTCAGGGAAATGGGGGTGGGGATCAGAGGAGAGGGAAAAGGTATTTACATATTAATAATAGAAAGAATGTGAATCAACATGATACGGTGTGTATTTAAATCTTTGAAAGACATAATTTAAAGTATTCAGAGAAATGATTTTATCACCTGGCTCCTTAAGAAGGAAGTCATCTCAACAGAGTAGAAAAGCTTTAAAAAATACAGTAATAAGTTTATACTAATAAATATCTTTCCCCAAAATTAAAAGGGAATGCAAGCTAAGAAAAGTAGCAAGGCTTAAATGGACTTTTCCTAAGAAACTCACTGGACTCTACGGCCTATATTTTCAAGATAAAGTTTACACATATGAATGCTATTTAGTCATGTTGACTAGACCACGTAGCTTCAGAAAATAAATCCCAAGATATCAGAACAGAAATTTGGAATAATTTTCAAGACATTTTTGTCCAATCATTGCATAACATGTAGATTTTTGTTTTCTATAGCTTAAGAAATTAGGTCTATATAGCCTACATTTTTTTTTTTTAACCAGAACCAGACACCCTGTGAAAGAAGCCACAGCTGAGATTAGTCAAATATGATTTGCTACAATTGCAGTATGTTCAACACACAGAAAGAGTAAAAGAGGAGTTAATTATTTCTTTTAGGAAGGAAAGAGAAAAAGTTAGCCATACTTTATATGGAAAAATTTTGAGATTTCCAGAATTGCAATGTGAAAGATCTGTGAACCTATGCTCCCAGGGGACCTGGTGAAAATTGTTTTAAAATATAATCACTTAAAGCCTTTACAAATGATCCTGTCTTAGTTTGTATTTGGTTGGTTACCTCAAACTGGATAATTTATAATGAAATATATTTCTTATAATTATGGAGGCTGGGAAGTTCCAGGACATGGCTGGGCATCTGGTGCGGGACTTCTTCCTGGTGAGAACTCTCTACAGAGTCCTGAAAGAACATCACGTGGTGAGAGACTCAATGTGCTAATATGCTTGATCAGGTCTCTCCTCCAGTCCTTATAAAGCCACCAGTTCCACTCCTATGATTACCTATTAATCCATTAATTTATGAATGAACAGATCAATCCAATGATTCTGCCCTCATGATCCAATCACCTCTTAAAGGCCTCACCTTTCAATACTGCCACATTGGGAATTTAGTTTCCAACACATGCTATTTGGGAGACACACTCAAACCATAGCACATCCTAAGAGCATATATAAATGAAGATACATTTATTCAAGAAAATACATTAAATTTGTTAGGAACAGTGAAATCCTGTGTCATTTGAATCAAGACCCCCTCTCTTTCTCCCTTCCCCCAGCCCAGTGTGACAGAAGTCTACTCCAGGCAGGTTCAGCCAAAAATACAGGGCTCCCTCTTCCCTAAGTTGCCAATCAAGAGCTAAGGTATCTTTCTGGAAGGGGCATAATATCAGCGTTTCTCACCCCATCCCTCAGTAACCTGTTGCAGAGCCTAAGTTATGGCTAAGTGCAGTTGAGATTTTGGATCTCCCTTCTTCCATGCATGGTTGCATGCACCTATAGTCCCTATACTCTGGAGGCTGAGGCAGATGCTTCAGCTCAGGAGTTTGAGGTTGCAGTGGCTAGGCTGATGCAACTGCACTCTAACCCAGGCAACAGAGTGAGCCGTTTCTTTAAAAAAAAAAGTACGAGAGAGGACATACTCTTTAATTAACTTGATTTAATCATTCCACAATGTAAACATATATAAAAACATCACACTGTACCCCAGAAATATATAGAATTGTTATTTGTCAGTTAAAACATAAAATTAGAAAAAGAAAGGAAATTCCTAAGATAGATTTAAAAT